CATTTTTTGTTGTGGTTTAGCTTCTTTCTTAATAACATTCGTTTATTTACAACAAGCATTTATTACTCACTGGCCACAGCACAACATTGGACAGACTAGCATATGTGTTAGCATAGAAGACATTGCCTCTGCTTTCAGGGAGCTAGGAGTAAAACACACCCAGATGCTCACTCTAAGAATAGCTTTTTTAAAAATGTAGAAATGCATGCAAATTAGTGTAGTAAAAACCGAGTATTGCAACGTGAAGCAAGCTATAAAGTTTCACTGTAGGACATAAATGCTTGAGTTATAGAGAGATACAGTATGTTTTTTTTAATGGGACAAGTAAAAATTGTAAAGATGTCCGTTTTCCCCAAGGTGTGTTAACAATAAGAAATCCCAAAATTTTCATGGAACAAGCTAATCCTGTAATTCACCTGGAAAACAAAATGCCGAAAATCTGCCAAGAAAATTTTGGAAAGGAAAAGTGAAAGCCCGCACTAGCAACTCTCAAAATAGTCCCTAAAGCTATGTTCATTAAGACAGAGTCATATTGGCACAAGAATAGACACATAGATCAATGAATCAGAAAAGAAAATATAGAAAAATATCTAAATGTTTCATTGGGAACTTGGTATATGTTAAAGACAACAGTTAAAATCAGTAGGGAAAGGATGAACCATTTATAGTATAAAGTTAATTAGCTAACTGTCGGGAAAAAATGAATTAGATCTTTACTTTGCGTCATTTACAAATATAAGTAGATTTAAGGGTAATGCATTTTTTTAAAAACTATAGGCATAATAGAAGGAAATACTGAGGAATGGATTTAAAGTCGTGTGCTCAAATAGCTCTTTTTAAAACAAGATGTAAACCACAAAGGTTTTAATAGAAAAACCTAACAAATTCAGGGCACCAGGCTGGTTCAGTCTAAGGAGTGTGCGACTCTTGATCCTCAGGGTCATGAGTTCGAGCCCCACGCTGGATGGAGAGATTACTTTAAAAAAAAAATTTTTTTTTCTAAAGGAAAGAAAAGTAACAAATTTAACCACAAAATATGAAAGTTATGTAAGATAAAATTAAAATATGCGACAAACTAGGAGAAAGCCTTTACAACGTATAATAGAAAATGACACGGTGTAGGGGTGATAAGAACAGCACCCATGAATCAATTGGAAAAAGATAAAAAATATAACAGGAAAATGGACCAAGGGTACAAACTGTTTACATAAGAGAAACAGGAATGACTGGGGAACATATGAATCAGAAAGATGCCAATTCAAATAAGAAACGTGTTTTCCATAAACAATAAATTCTGGTACACTGAAAAGAAATTTAAAAAATAAATTTAAAAAATAAATTAAGTAATTAAAAAAAACCCAAAATGTGTTTTCCACGGATTGAGTCCATCTTAAGAAACACGTATTGAAGTTAAATATCCATTTTTTGCCCATCAAGATGGCCGAAATGTGAAAGATTGACAGTGCTAATTATGGATGAGGGTGAAGAAGACAGGTACTTCCATGCAAAATTTGCAAATGTAAATTGGGTCCATCTGTTTTGGAAGACAGTTTGGTGGTGCTCGGAATTTAAAACACACACCGCGCTCCATTCTGTGTCTCCAACCCCCTCGGGGCTGCCTCTCCTCATGGGGTAGTCAGGTCCAGACTGCCTCAGAGTAAGGCGCCAGGCTTCCAAGGAGGTAAAGGCAGAAGCTGCCAGGCTTCTCTCTGAAGGGCCAGAGTAAAGCAGATTCCTCCATGGACACTTTGTAGCATCTCTTAAGTGCTTATATGTTTATATAAATTTCAAAAGATTCTGCTTTTTTTTTAAGATTTTATTTATTCATTTGACAGAGAAAGAGACCACAAGTAAGCAGAGAGAGAGGGCGGGGGTGGGGGGGGGGGGAAGCAGGCTCCCCGCTGAGCAGAGAGCCTGATGCAGGGTTGGATCCCAGGACCCTGAGATCATGACCTGAGCCGAAGGCAGAGGCTTTAACCCACTGAGCCACCCAGGCGCCCCGATTCCACTGTGTTGATCCGTGTTTCCTCCTTGACCCAAACTACGTAACTAGTTACACCCATTCTGGTTTTTCCTTTTTAAATTTTTTCGTGTGACCTGTGGGTAAATTATGCAAACAGATGAAAACACACAACAACGCTTCGCCACAGTGTATGCGGTCTAAAAATTCGATTGGGTAAATGCCGGTGTGGTGGCGGTGTGATGTGCGTTGAAAACAGCGTTTTATCAGAAGGTGGTATTGTCATTAAAGATTGTGAAACACCCGCTGTGCACAACTAACTGTGCACACTGTTTCACACTGAAGTGAGGAAGTCCCCCAGCGATCCTGAGGCAGTCGCTTTTTCCCACGCGCACACGTGCACACACATGGACACCCGCACACGTACACACGCGCATACTCTGGATTTTCTCTGAGAATGGTGCTGGGTAGCCTGGAAAGAGGACAGGAACCAAACACCAATCATGCTACAGCCCAACTCACATTATTAGGGTGCATGTTTTTTCCGTGCCTTCTCAGCTCTGCTCTGTGGGTCCGCTCCCAATTCATCCAGCAGTCTTCCCTTCGTGCTCGGCATGTGGAGCGCCCTGGGGATACACACAAAGCTGGACAAGCCTGGCTCCTGCAGCTGGTGGGGAAGAATGTGCTTGAAAAGAGCCCTCATGTCGATCAGGCCCCCTGGGTGCCAGGACGGAGCTGTGCACAGGGTGCTTTGCCAGGGGGCACAGAGAAGGGGCAGCTCCCCCAGCAGCCTGATTGGAAGTGAGTCTTGAAAGACAGATAGTAGCTGCGGAACAGAAAAATTGGGTGTGCAGGGAGAAAAGGGGAATATTACAGGCAGAAGCAACAGCTTGAGCAAAGGCTCTTGGGATAAAAATAGCACAGCGGGCAGCACGCCTCTTCGGAGTGGAGACAGGCCAATGGCTCTGGCTTATCCGAACTTACACAGAAAGATGTAAGCGGGCAGGGCATGGTGGGCCTCCTAGGGCAACTTAGGACCCAAGCAGTGGAGGGGGACAGCCGGGCTCACATGGTTGCTTTTCCCTCCATTGGCAGGTGGAGGCCGGAGTAAGTGGACGAGAGTAGGGGCTAGAGGCCACCTCAGAGAGGTGACATGACCCCGAATCAGGGGGGCAGCATCAGGAGGACCACACGTGCCATCATTATATGGGAAGCCTGGGACTACCAAGAAAAGATTTTATTTTATTCTTTTGTCATTTTCTGAAATTCTATTGTATTCTGAACAAGATCAGGAGATACGCATATGAAATTTAATTCATACTTCTATTGTCCTGTTTAACCTCAGCACATTTCTATTTTTCATTTATTCTATAAACAAAAATTATCTCTGAATTTTCCTCTGGGTGCAACCAGGAATTTGGTTTCTTGGATCACTTCCCTCCCCATATTCGTAATTTATCGTCTGGACCCCTTTATAAATGCTGTAGCTAAATCTTGTGCAATACTGAGCTGTCCAGCTGATGTGATCTTTATAGGCTGGCTTCTTGTTGCTGTTATAATCCACTCATCTCTTATAAACGCTTCTATCTGCTTCCCGAATGCCATGGCCTTGGCACTGAGATTTGCACCTGTGGCGTCACGCTGGCAAATGGCTTCATGTCCTAAGGTCTTAAAATAATCTTTCCTCTCCTCCCCACCAGCACAGAGGAAGTTTGTTCTGGAACTGGCTTGCTTAAGGTGATACCTTCACTTCTCTTAAATTTGTGGAGACTTAATGAATTCGTTTAAAAAAAGAAAAAAGTCTGGTCTAATTTAAGGAGGGTTTTTAGGATCAACAGGTATGATGGAAATGATAGGCATGAATTGGGAAATGGGTTAAAGTGAGCTCTTAAGAAATTGCTCACCACAGAGCACCAGGGTGGCTCAGTCACTTAAGCTTCCGACTCTTGGTTTTGGCTCAGGTCACGATCTCAGGGTCCTGGGATCGAGCCCCACGTCAGGCTCCCCACTCAGCAGGGAATCTGCTTTCTCCCTCTCCGTCTGTCCCTCCCCCTGCTCGTGTACTTTCTCTCTAAAAATAAATCTTTAAGAAACTAAGTGCTCACCACTGTGATATAATACAGAGATGAAGGATGGATGTCATTACCATGTTTCATGTTCTGTGACTCTAATTTACATAGAACCCAGATCTTGGCCAACCACCAGGCCTGGGCTCAAGGCTGGGCAAGAGAAATCAGTGGCAGTTTCAGGAAATGGGACCATCCCATGCCAGGGCTGCGAACTATAATCATTTCTTAGTTGTAACAGAGTACCCTGTTTTCCCAGTAATTAACTAGTTGGGGATTTTTGTGTTTACTCCCAGGGACCAGGGTCACTCCGCGTTTTCACGAAGGACGATGGTTAGGGTGGCGTCATGACTTGCTTAGGCTAACAAGCCTTTATCTTTCACTTAACCCGACAAACATTCACACTGCTCTGCCCTTCCAGCACATTCTCTGGAGCATACAGTGTACCCCCCGACAGCGGCACGAGGCACTCATAGACTCTTGGGAGAGCAGCGGGTTTGGTTAACGGGGTACCCACAAGAGCTGGGGCCGGTCTTATTGGAGGAAGGCAAAGAAGTGAGCATTTACTGAGTGTAGGCCGTGTGCTAGATATTTTATATACGTTAGCTCATCTGATAATGAGGCTAGCTCTGCGATGTAGCATGTGTTCAAAATGTATTAGTTGCTTTGCTTTTTCATCTGCGTTACAGAAATAACTCATATCGAATTACTTAACACTGTAAATTTGAAATCCTGTCTGTGTAAGCATGTGCCAGTGATTTCTAAAGCTGATCTGATACAGGATGTATTAGCAAATGGGGAAAGGGCGCCAATCCTGGCATGGATGTAAGGTACAGAAAATCCCATATTCACGCTTCCTATACAGAATTTGTCAGGAAAAGAACTTAAATAGGTTGAGAGACGTTTGCTTGAAGTTTTTTCCATGCACTGTTCAAGCGTGGCAGAAATTGAGCTCTCCTCCTCTGCTTTCTTAGATACATTCCACCGTTGATCTGGGGGAAAAGTGGACACATCCAGACAGCCTTGTACGGGAAGATGGGAAGGGTGAGGTCGCCACACCCCTACGGGCACCGCAAGTTCATCACCATGTCCGACGGAGCCACTTCGACCTTCGACCTCTTCGAGCCCTTGGCAGAGCACTGTGTTGGAGGTGAGCTAGCGCAGGTCTGCGATGGGGCCATTGCCCGGAATGGGAACACTGGGCAGTGAGGGAGCACGGTGTACGCGCTTGTCCCGCCAACTCAGCATCATGCTGGGGGCTGGGAGGAAGCCCACTGCGGTTCATCACCCAGGGGCGGCCTGCAAGGGTTCGTGCTATCATGTGCTTGCTGGACACCACGTTGGGCCCCTCAGACAGCAATGCTGGATGTGGTTGTTAGTCCTCCCATGAGATACAGAAGCTCGGTGTAAGGGGCTGTGGGAGAACGTGGAGCCCAGGCCCCGTCAGGACCAGGCCTCTGGTTTGATGACAGCAATAGAAGCCAGACTCTTCTAAGAGCTTTGTAGGTCCTGTTCTTTCAGTTAAGCTTTGCAGCAACCCCAAGAGGTGGGTGCCTTATTGTCCCGACTCTACTGATGAGAGAAACTAAAGCTCAGAGACACGGCATAGGCCGGTCTGGTTTGTTGGATAATAGCAGATGGCGGAGGCTCGCAGGCACCCTCTGTGTCGGTTGCCGTGGACAAAAAGACACATTCAGGTCCATGTACGCAGGGCTCTGGGATACCTGTCTGTCAGAAGCTTCTCAATCACTGCTGTGGCTGGAAGCCAGCGTTGCTCTGTGCGGCCTGCCTAGTAAGCAGCCGTTACAGAGAGCTTCGTGGGAGGACTCATGAGTGAGTGGAGTTAGGATGCCAGCTGCCTCCCACTGCCCCTCCTAGAGGAGGATGTGTCTTCTCAGTTCCGTAGTATGCAAGGCACCTAGGTCTGAGGGGTTTTTTGTGCTTTTTTATTTTGTAAAGATTTGATCTATTTATTCAGAGAGAGAGCTTGTGTGCACAAGTGGCAGGGGGCGGGGCAGAGGAAGAGAGAGAATCCCACGGAGACTCCCTACTGGGCATAGAGCCCAATGAGGGGCTCGATCTCACGACCCTGGGATCATGATCTGAGCTGAAATCAAGAGTCAGATGCCCAACCGACTGAGCCACCCAAGCGCCCCAAGGCACCTTGGTTTTTATAGGATCTCGGTAACTACTTGGGAGGAAGTTCCAGTAAACCTCTTGTACCTTTCAGTTCTTTACGGTAACCAGCGCTGTTGACAAGCTGGTGCCGAAGGTTTAGTGGGTGTTCCCTTTGCCTGTTACACTCAGCCCCAGACCCCTCCATGGCTGCCTCCTCCTTGTCACTCAGATCTCAACTCAGCTGTCACCTCCTCAGAGGGACAGCCCCTGCCTCCCCTTGCTAATGTTCCCTTCCCAGTCAATCCATCACACCTTCCTGCTTTCGTTCTTCAGAGTACCACTCGCTCAGGACGTAATTCGTGGTCCTGAGGGATCTCTGTCTGTCAAATAAATAAATGAAATCTTTAAAAAAAAAAAAAAAAGAAAATTCAAAAGGTACCTTTAAGATATACAGAGCAAGTATATATCTCTCTTCTACTCCTACTGCCCACCCACACTCCTCCCCAGTGGTACTCACTGTTAGGTTTCTCACTATGATTCCAGGGCTAGTGGATGCATTTCTAAACATAGATGTCTTTTTCCCCTCCATGCAAATGGCAGCGTTCATAACCCTTTTCCACACCTTGCTTTTTTTCCCACTTAATACATGTTGGAGAGCTCACCCTATCAGCACCCGTAAAGATGTGTCTCGTTATTTCTAAGGGCTACATAACATTTCATCACTTGGATGTGCAATAATTTATTTAACCAGACCTCTATTTTGGGGCATTTAGCTTGTGTTCACTCTTTTGCCATTATCACCTGTCATGTACATCTCTTGTTCTGCACAATGTACAGTTGTATCTGTAGACAAATATCTGGAAGTCAAATTGCTTGATCAAAGAAGCCTGTGCAGACTACTTCCTGTTTTTCCATGCCTGCATCCCATCATTCATACAGAAATTAAGAGGAAGGTTTGGAAACCTGGAAAGCAGTGTGGCTGAGTAATTTTGTATCTGCTGAATCTAATAATAAAAAATCGAGATTTAAATTGTTTTCATTTCACCTTTGTAGTCATTAATTTTTATCGTATTTTTCAAAATTATCTGTCCACGATTGGGAATTTTAACAACTGACCCTTCACCGTAAGTAGTTTGAGAAGCGCCGATCGGGCTAACTCCACCCAGAAGGTAAAGATGCTTCTTCCCAGAGAACTTAGTGGAAAGATGGATGTCAGTTTCCCTCCTGCTGTTTTCTAGGCCAGTGATGTATCGTCATGGCCGTTTATCATCACGCCTCATGCGGTTCATGGGGATTTTTCTCTTCACCCCGTAGATGATGTTACTATGGTCATCTGCCCGGGAATCGCCAATCACAGCGAGAAGCAGTACATCCGCACCTTCGTGGACTATGCCCAGAAAAACGGCTACCGGTGCGCGGTGCTCAACCACCTGGGCGCCTTGCCCAACATTGAGCTGACCTCACCGCGCATGTTCACCTACGGTAAGTGCCACGGCCACGTGGAATCCCCCTTATCGTTCTGACTACGAGCGAGCGCACTGTCACTTCTGTCCTGCTGTACCTTTCTGAGGGCAGAATTTATGCCCATCTGGAGAGGCAGCGGGGCTCGGGGTTACGCCAGCAGCTGGTGTGTGTGGGACATTTATGATGCCATGCTTCAGGTCAGCCTTTCGGATGGGCCCCAGAGCCACCCCCAGTGCATCCTGCCTCCTGGAGACCCAGTGAAAGTCATGGGGGCAGGGTGTCCCCTGCCGCCCCCTGCTGGTGGGTAGGCATCAGAGCAGGGCCAGGGACCCCCCTGTAGCCCACGCCTGGCACCACTGAGCCATCCCGACCCCAGTTCTTCAGGACTCTTGTGACTGGTGGGCAAGGGTTGCGATGACGCACACGCATGTCTGTGGGAAAGAAATCTGGCATCAGTGACTCACTGGGTTCCAAGTTCCTTGCAGAGAGGAACCGGATCTCATATTGAGACAAGTGCTTCTTGCCTCTAATTGAAGTCCCGTGTTAAGGAAGGCTCTGTCTTCCAGGCTGCCCGTTCTTGATTCTTATTTAAATCTCCCTTCATATTATAGATGCACACATAAATAATAAACACATAAGATATGTGTTTGAATACGCACAAACACTGGCATTGTTTATAACCAAAGAAATTACTCTGTGTTTTAATGGGAAACAACCGAAAATTGCATCCACCATTCTGCTATAACTCTAATTTTCGACTTGTTTATCTTCCCATTCTTCCATCTGTGTGTATGTAGTTTTTATTTAAAGGCAGCCTTAGTGTGTATATCTGTGGTGACTTAGTTTAAATAATCTTATATTCGCTAGCATAAAGGTGCATAGTCACTACATTTAATCTTTAAGAGCCCCGTTGCTATTATTATTCCGTTATTGTTTATCTAACCCTTCCTCTTTGTAGTCCATTTAGTTTATAGAGTTTTTTGGCATTTTAAATAATGATGCTATAAATAGCTTTCGCATAGAATTTGTTTATACTCTTTAATGACTACTTTGGGCTGAATTTCCGGGGCTAGAATTTCAGAGTCGACATTCTGTATGCCTGTTTGTCCGTACTGTCAGACTCTCCTCCAGCAAGGCTGTACCGGTTTATGTGGCTGCTGGTGACGTGTAGGGCGCCGGTAGGGAGGCGTGAGTGGGACACCTGTTCTGGGCCCACCAGGCTGCCCCGCGCCCTGCTGCTTCTCGTGCTCACTCCCACGACTAAAGACCCCGTGTTACAGACTCTTCTGCTCAATAGTTGGTCGGTGGCCTGAAGATATAGGTAAAGATCCAGATTTACAGATCACTCAGGAACAGAAGAGTGAGCGAGTAGGAGACGGGATTGGATCCAAAAGGCAGAAACAGGCAGACTCTCACAGAAGTGAGAACAATGGGGAAGGATTATAATAAGGACCTGTACATGGATATAAAAATCCGTCCACCAAGTTGAGAACGAGGAGGCATGGCTTGGCCTCACTCAGGACCGCAGACGGAGACAGACTTGGGAGTGCCGTCTAACCGCATGAACCGCCAAAAACAAGACGAGATGCCAGCGAGGGCACTTAACGTGTGCCTGACCCTGTGCTCATGTCTCTCACAGACGTCATCCCTTTAATCTCCACAGCAGCCAGCGGGACACTTAGGGAAATTGTGATGAGAAGCCACCCAGAGGCACAGAGAGGTCATGTAACTGGGGCGAGGGATAGAGCTGGTAAGCCCGAGAGCTAAGAGAAGAGCCTGGGTCTAGCTGCTCCGGCGTCCAGGATCAGGTCAGAGCTAGCAGAAGCGCTGGGTGTGTGTGGCACTCCCAGGAGTGCCATGCCAGGGGCCATGGGGAAGGGACACTAGGTTGGCAGACATTCGCACACAAGCTGGGGGATTTGCTGAAGGAGCAGAGAAGAGTGGGTGCAGTGTGGCACAGGGACGGTCACAGAGAAGGTCCCCTCGGCCCCTGCCCTGCTGCTGACTTAACAATCAGTTCCAGATTCTTCAACAGCCCCAAAGGGGGGTCACAATTGTCCAGTTAAACTTGGGTTACTAAGGACTTAGCAGGTAGCTGAGCGCCTAACCTATAGTATCCATTCATTAAATGTTCAGTTCGTCTTTATTCAAATACTTGAAGATCTGTTCATGCAAGCTAGGGATTAGCCGCGCTCTCTGCCACCCAGATAAATAAGACATGTTCCATCAGTGAATCACCATGCCACAGGGTGATGGGGGAGGCAGCAGCAGAGAGAAACCCGCCTGTCTCCATAGGCAAGCAGTGGTGTTGCGGAAGGAAAGATTCTTCCCGGAACAGCATCAGAACCGGGTCCTTGAGGTCCCAGGAGTTGGAGCTCCTAAACAGAAGGGAGTGGGCTCGGGGGGCGGGCAGCGTGGTATGTGGGGGCTGGTGAGCTGGATCCCAGCAAGGAGAATCCACGGAGCAAAGTCAGCCCGTCCAGGGAGAACTCAGCCCCCCAAGGTTTTCAAAGTCAGTTAACCGTCTCCTTTCATTTGTTGTTGTTCCAGTTTCATCAGCATTTTAGAGGTAAATTCCTATAGTTGGTCGTACTCTGGTAGTTTTCCAGGAGGGCGGATGACCTGGAAGATATGTTTCCTCTTCAGTTTTTAAAAAAAATTTTCTGTTAGAGAAATGTTCAAAATACACAAAGGTAGAGAGAATCGTCAAATGAGCCTCCGTGTACACACCATCCAGCCTCAACAGTTACTCAACTTACGGCCAGTCTCATTTTACCCACAACCCCCTTCCTGCCCTTTCCTTCCCTTTCAAAGATTATTTTGGAGTTTGTCCCGAAGAGCCCTTCCTTCCATCTGTGACTATTTTGGTGTATGATGCTAAACTATGCAGACTCTTTGTAAACTGTTTTAGTTTGCTAGGACTGCCCTCACAAAATACCACCTTCTGGGTGGCCTAAAGGACAGACACTTATCCTCTCAGTGTTCCGGAGGCCTGGAGTTTAAGTTCAAGGTGTGGGCTACCTCTCCGGGAGATCTTCTCTCCCAGGCTTGTAGGTGACGGTCTTCTCCTTGTCTTGTGTGTCTGAGTGTGTGTGTGTGTCTCCCTTTGTCTGTGTCCTCCTCTCCTCTCCTTATGAAGACACCAGTCAGGTTGGATTAGAACTCAACCCCAATGACACTGTTTTAACTTAATTATTTCTCTAAAGGCCCTTTCTCCAAATACAGTCAGATTCTGAGGCATTGGCAGCTAGGACTCCAATATATGAACTGGGGAGGACACGGTCTGGCTCCTAAAATAATTAGCACAATATCACCGTCACACCAGCGGTCCCTAACAGCCCCAGCCGACTTCTTTCTTTGTCCGTGACTCAGGCTCCAAATCCATTCCTTACACTGCGGTTGGATGATCGGTTTCTTAAGCCTCTTCTATTTATTTTAGTATTTAGTATTTAGTATTTAGTATTACTGTTCCCTCCCTCTTTTTTCCCTTCCTCTGCTTTTCAGTGGAAAAGGTAAAAAGAAAGTGGAGCCATCTTAAACCTCTTTTCAATCTCCTTCCCTTCACCGTTCATAGACCCCCAACTGCGTCGGCCTGGTCCGTGCGGGAGGACTGGATGTGATGTTAAGGAATCTCTGGCCTGAGGGCTGCCTGTCACAGGTGTGCCCCAGCTCTGTCTGGACGGCCCTTCTCTGGTCTTCACTTAGCTACTTCTTGTCGTTCAGGTCTCAACTAAGATGTCACCTTCTCGGAAGGTCCTTGTCCCCTGCCCTCACCCCCCAGTCGTTCTCTAATCCCCAGTCTCCCCAAGGCTTTTTGATGGGAGCCAGCTGTCTCTGTGCTCCCTGGGGTGGCTCCCTGTGCCCAGAATCCTGCTCGGCCCCCAGAACGTGCTCGCGGCATCAGTGCTGACTGCGGACTGAGGTGAGGGCCAAGAGATGACTGTCTGTAAGGTGATCTTGGCAAACTGCGTCTCAAACTCATGCCCCGATGGTCACAGGAGTCTTCCCCTGTGCGAGCCACACTGCTCTCGAGCAGAGGATGGGCTGACAAGTCCCTGCAAACACCCCTCTGTGGCCGCTGGAGACTGATCTTGACCCGAGGAAAAGTAAAGAGGATATTAACAGGAAGCTTTCCATTCTTCTTTTCCTGTTAAATACCACCCCCTCCCAAGGTCTCTCTAAGAACATGGTAGAAGACCTTTCCCCACTTATCAGACTGTTCCAGACCACATGAGCACCGGTCCCTTGCTACTGGACATCTTTGCTGGTGTGATTGGAAAGTGTGAAAAACAGATCTCTCGCAAACGGAAGAATTTCCTAAACGGGTACTTACACATTCTCGTGACTTAGAGTCCTTCATGCTGCCTTTGAAGGATGAAATCATTAAGGAAAATCCTGTATGACAGCACTTCCCATGTAGCTCCCACTGACCAACAAGTGCCAGGGTGCGCTGAGCCTTCTTCCGATCCCCGCTGACGTCCGGAGGTCGATGCTAGTGTTCCTGCTCCACAGGCTTGCCCGGGGTCCCACCCCTCATAAGTGGCAGAACCAGCCTTCAGACTGTGTGGTTCACCATCCCAGTCAGCACCAGTCCGGGGTGGTGCACGTTTCCCATGCAGGGTATTGTCCGTGAGGACTGGACAGGAGAAGGGAGGCAGCTGAGGGTTTCAGAAGACTTTTCCCCCACTCGGTGACAGTGGTCATTACTGTTTATATGAATAGTGTTTGTTGTGTAGCCGGCACTGTTCTGAGTACTGATAGGATGTATTAAACGGGCTGTCCCCCTTTTACAGACGAGGAACCTGAGGCCCAGTGAGGTTGTATAACTTGCTTCAGATCACAAAGCTGATGAGCAGGTGGCCCAGGTTTCCCATCCAGATGGTCTAGTCCTGAAGCTCGTGCTTTTGAACCGCAGGCCACATCACCTCTCTGAGTGAGGGACCATGTTCTGCTGAGACTTCTCAGGAGCAAGGGGAGAGTTCCCACTTGGACACGTAGGTTTAAGGCAAAAGTGCATC